AGGTGGTTTTTCCATAACTGGGATGGGGCAGGGAGTGAGGAGCCGGATGCCGCAGGGCCAGAGCAGAAGCAGAGGCTTGGGTACCGGGAGCACACCCTCATTAGCCTTCTCAGTGGCTTAGAGCCTGCGGCCTCCCGTCTGTCCCACAGTGGTCCAGGGCGGCCGGGTCTCGTGGTCTAAGTGTCTCCTGTCGGTGGGAGCACACAGGAGAGAAAGCCAGGTGCTTCCACTGTGGTTTGTCTCCCAGCCCTGCCAGGGACCTGAAAGGGGCGTGGCTGAGAAGCTCTCACACTGGTGCCCAGCAGAGCTGGACTTCTGTCCCCTGCGTCACGGATCAGTTTGTGTGCGTCGTTAACCCCTTGGGACCAACGGTCCAGTTACAAGTGGAATGTGAAGGTTAGGAAGGAGGTGCTGTGCTGTGAAGAAGAATGGAAGGACGTTGGGGATCCCACGATCACCACCATGCCCAGTCAATGATTGGGAGGATAGAGATAGACGTGCTGTGTCCCGCCCCTGCCCCATCTCACCATGAATTCCTATTCTGCACGTGCAAGTGTATTGCCTCAGCTTTTTAAGGTGGACATAAGCACAGCATGTGTCCAGGGTTGTCTGATGCTGGGCTCACTGTCCCGTCGTGGCCAGCACTCCACAGTGCCACATAGCTTTCCTTGGCGTGGCCTCTGCAGCAGTGTGGCCATGAGTGCACCTTGTCCCTGCCCTTGCTCACTGCGCTGAGCACTAGATAAGTCTTAGACGTTCAGTCGGTGATGCCCGCCAAGAGGTCTGTAGACGTTAAATTGTAGGGCAGCGTGGATCTGTGACCTGCTCAGTAGAGACTGCCAACTCCCTTCATCTCTCCCTTACCCACACACCACAATTTTAGATTTCCCCCTTGCCTGCTAATTTTTTTTAAGCAGCCAGGGACTTTGCCTCCCACCCCGAGCTGGTGCCTCATCCCAGCGACACACCTCTGAGATGCGTGAGGGCCAGCAGCTCTCAGACCAGACTCCCGGGGCTTCCTCCCTGGCAGGAGGAAGGTGAGGAGCCCTCCACCGTGAGCCCCTTCCAGCCCGTCTCAGACGTTCCCCAAGACTGACACCAGGTCACTGGGGGGCCCACAGATGGGTGGTACACAGGTGCAGCTGCCAACTCTGGGCAGGGCCCTCGGCTGCTTTGGATGATGGGGCAGATGGGCCTGTGTGACGTCACCTGTCATTTGAGTATTTTTAAAGCTAATTTATTGAGCCTCTGTCATCTTTAAATTTTTAGTTTCTCACAGCAGTCCTACATTCTGTTTATATCTCTGTTAAAGATAAGAAAAACAGGGGCCCTGTGCTGTGGCACAGTGGGCTAAGCCTCCGCCTGTGGTGTGGCCATCCTCTAAGGGCGCCAGTTCGAGTCTCGGCTGCTCCTCTTTCTATCTAGCTCTCTGATAATGGCCTGGGAAAGCAGTGGAGGATGGCCCGAGTGTTTGGGCCCCTGTACTTACATGGGAGACTCGGAAGAAGCTCATGGCTTCAGATTGGCTCAGCTCCGGCCATTGCGGCCATTTGGGGAATGAACCTGTGGATGGAAGACCTTTCTCTTTCTCTCTCCTCTCTCTGTAACTACCTCTCAAAGGTCTGGGAAGATACAAGCTGCATGTCATTAAATTAACAGTGGAATGGCCAATTTTTATTGGTTTCCATCTAATCTCAAATCCTGTGTCTAAATCCCTAATTGTACTTAAAGTGATCTATTTTGCAAGAAACTGTTAGCATTTTTTCTTTGTGTGGACATCCCTGATAAAAGATTCACAAGTTGTCACAAAGAGTTAAGCAGCACAGAATAGAAGACCCCCTAGACCCTAGCAGCCGGAGGGATGTTTGAAGAATTTCCACCATGAGCAGTGAAATAAAACGGGTGTTAATGAGGCTGTAATTAGGAAAGCCAGTTACACTGCCTGAGAGCATCCAATGCAGCTAATTGCTTTCTCAGCTATCAGGGAGCTATAAATAGAGACTTAAGTAAAGAAATGCCTCTTTAAGATGCGACTTCGAGTTATTAGCAGACTTGTTTAAGTAGCAAAGGATGGAGCCTTTTCCCTTCCTGCTTGTGTTTACCGTGAAAAGGGGTATTTTATCAGCCTGGAGAAAGAAACCTCCAAAGGGAGAATGCTTTTCCTCTGGTTAGCAGGGGTAGGGAACCTTCGGCCTGGGGGCCATGTAAGGACCGTGAAATTATTTGGACACGCTGGAACTTGAAATTCAATAAATCTATAGCGGGCTAAGCTGATCATTTGTATGGCCTGCGAATGATGTTATAAATATTCAAATGGCCCTGGACAGAAAAATGGTTCCTCACCCCTGCATTGGGTGCTGTGCAGCTGGGGCGCCCTGGAGGCTGCACCCTGTGCAGGCGTGGGCCACAGGGCAGATGGGCCTTTGCCCCCCCCCCCCCCCCCAGCAGAAAGGGTCTGGAGACTGCCTCGGCCCAAATCTGTGAGCCGCAAGCCCTGACCGTCCTGTGGGCTGGGGTCATGGCAGGAAGCCCAGTGCCCTGTCTCCTTCTTGCTGCTCAGGGCCTCATTGCTAGTCATCAAAGAATGACCTTGTACACCACTCCTCTGCTTTCCACACTGATGAATTCCTTAATGGTCACACGCGTGTTCCATTTTGAGCAAATAAGTTCAGGTTTTTAAAAACTGTGTTTTTATTTCCAATGTATTTTTATATAGGAGCTTTATAGAGGTAATCGGCATTCTATAAAACTTATTCTCAAATGTGTGTGGAATACTGCTTTAACGTGTTTGCTGATAGTTGAAAAGCTTCTAGTATTTAGAATAAACAGGGCACTGTATAGAGAGAACTTTTTAGTTGATAAAATCATCATCCCCTTTCCAGTGCATGCAAATGCATATTTTTTCAGCAAAAAGAAATGCTAAGTCTTTTCTTCCAAAACCCATTTAAAACCTTCTTAAACAAAATGTTTCTGTACTCACTTCAGCACAGACTAACGTTGGAACCATACAGAGAAGCCTAGCACGGCTCCTGCACAAGACGACATGCCAGTTAATGAAGCAGTCTATACTTAAAAAAAAAATTCTTAACCTAAAAGTTGGGGACATTCTTCCCAAAAGGTAGCATTAACCATGAAAAGAATGGATGGGAGGTGAAAATGCATTTTTATTCTGCTTACAGCAATAACTTTTGAAAATAAAATGCTAAGCAATAGATGCCAACCCTACTGTTCCAACAGCGGGTCCTACCTTTGTTTCACCTGTCTGTCGTCTTTTATGTTCTTAGACCCACAAGTGACTGGGTGTGATTTCCAAGGGAACGGCTTTGTGTGCAGCTGTAATTGACATTTTTCTTGAACTGTCAGATGTTCTTTAGAAAGTGTTTTCCTACTTCTCTTAATCCCTTTTTGAATAGAGTTGCCTCAGGCTTTTTGAAATCTGCCTGCAGCTTGCACAGCAGAGAATGCCAAAGGCAGAGACACAGAATTCGGGAGGGGCTTGTTGGCCCGGAGTGGCCACCTGGAGTGTTTCCAGGTGAGAAGGGAGCAGAGGGGGTACAGGCCCTGCTGGGCATCCTTTGCTAGGCTGCCCTGAGATGCATGGGCTGGGCTTCTGGGTCGGGCAGCTCAGGAGCGCCCGGCTCCCTGGCTCTGCAGACGTAACTGTGTGAGCGAAACACAGTGCCCGCCCCCTTGCTCAGATGTGGGCCTTTGGTGGGAATCCTTTGTTAAGGAAGAGCCTGCAGGTGATATTTCATTGTGGTTTGGGTTTGGTTATGGTTAGGAAACAAGCCCCTTCCATGGGGCATGGAGGTCCCTGTGTAGCCCAAACCCCTTGCGGGTAGGTGGGTAGATGGGAGGAGTCGATACTTCTCACCAGGCTTTTGCTCTTGGCCACAGCCCATGGCCCAGCCGGGACCTCTGAGTGTTTCGTTCCCATCGCCAGACTAGACTGTGTGTTCCCTGAGTCTATAAAACAAGCTGAGTAGGATGTGGAGCCCCCACCTCCTCCCCGGGGTGACTGTTCCAACAGACTCGTGCGTCTCCCTCGAGTCCCACACCCTGCCACTTGCAAACAGCCTCCAAAGCAGGGACCCGCAGCTCAACCAGAGCTTTAAAAGCAAAATACAAGTTCTCCAGGCTGGCCGGTTATGCAGGTCATGTAGGTGCCCAGGTGACGACACGGTGCCGGCTGAGGTTAAACTGCCTTAGACAGCTTTCAAAAACCAGAAAGCATAGCTACCTTCTCTGATTGAAGCAAGAGAAAGAAAAATTTTTAAATACGCATATCAGCAATTGCCATTTCAAAGATTTTGATATGTTTGTGACCTTAGGATTTAAATTTTTTTTTGCAGAAAAAGCTGCTAATTTTCCTGTAAATTAAACCCCCTCAATCAGAAGAATTATACAGATTGGTAAATTCTGTTAGTGCCCCAAACATTGTAGAAATTGGGTTCAGGAAGCCTATGGACTTGGATAATTTGATCAGCTGGCATCTTGTTTTGGCCCAGCAGGCCCAGTTGCAAGGGTGTTGTAGAATGTGAACCTGCTGCCAGCCTCCCATTGTCTCCCTGGGGGACTTCTCGGGCCATGTTGCCCTTTGTCACCTGTGTCATGGCTCTGACACCGCCCTGGCCCTGAGTGCCCTGGCTCCAGCCCCGCCTCCAGGCCCTTCTCTCCCTGCCACTCCTTAGGGTCTCAGCTGATTGGTACTATGGCAGCTTCATTTCCTAGACGGTGAGGGCCAACAGGTCTCTAAACAGGGGGCTGCTGGGTAAGGTTTGTGCTCAGAAGGAGCTGGCTATGGGCAGAGATGTTTGGAGGGATGCGTGCAGGTGGCCCTCAAGTTTACAAGACTGTAGTGATCCAGGAGGGAGCTTGGGGATCTGATGCTGAGCCACAGGCCGAACCTGGTACTTGGCTGCCTTAGGAAGCAGGGTGGGAGCCCCAGCGTCCCTAAGGTGATGTAGAAGACATAGAGTGAAAGTGGTCTGGGCCAGGTTGAGTTTGGGGTTTGCAGTGGACACCCAGAGGGAGGAAGATGTGAGCAGGTGTTTGGAACCATGGCGATGGAGCCAGGGCCATGCGGATCCTGGGACTGAGTGCTGGGAGAGAGACGGGGTTGGGTGAAGTTCTGGGAGATGGCCAGGCAAGGGGGGGGAGTACAGGAGGATGGGCTGGGAAGGTGGGTGAATGGGGAGGGCTGAGGCCAGTGAATGGGGAAATTAAAGTGGGAGGAGATCTGGAGGCCGGGTCAAGGGATGACTTAGAGGAAGCAGCTGGCTCAGTGCCCCCCTTTTCACGGTCGAGCAAGTTGGAATTGGGTGCAGTTGGGAGATTCGTCGTGGATCACGCTAAGTTGCAGAGCCGTGTCGAAGTCAGGGACGCCGCCCTAGCCCAGCGCCTGCCCTTGAGCTCCACGCTGCTTCGGAGAAAGCTCCCGGATCGTGGGCTGGTGTGCGCTCCTGTAGGAACCCAGCGTGGTACGCCATGCGTGACGGACGTCGGCCTCTTCCCCATGCAGCCAGGCACCTCATCCAGCAGATGCCGGGGCGCTGCTGCTGTCTGCGCTGTGGTCTTGCCGGGGCTCTGCAGCGGGGCTGAGTGTAGACCCTGGCTTTGCCCCTTCCTGCTCCTGTGGCCTCTGCTCAGCGCCGGGGGAAACGGAGCCTGGAGCAGATTGAGAGCCCCTTCTCCCAGAGACCCTAATTCCTCCCAGCCACTTAGCGCTGAGAGTCGATCTCCGTCTTTCCACATCTAACATTTGCAGCCGTTTGCTTCCTGGATGAGGAGTGGAACATTCTCAAGCATCTGTGCTTTTACGGTTTAGGTAGATTCTTCACGTATGCGACCACATGCTTACTGTCACTGGGCACATGCCCATGTGTGTGGTCTTAGCCTTAGTCCTTAGTCCTCATCTTCCACACAGTGGGGAGGCTGTAGGCTGGGCAAGCCTAGGGCTCGACGCCCAGCCCAGACCTCAGGTGGTTTCTCCTGTGGGAGGCACGTGCAGGAGAGGACGGAGTGCTCTGGGGAAGTGTCACAGGCACCAGGGCGGGGTGGGGGCTGGGGAGAGGGGTCTCAGAATAAGCACAGAGGAGGGGCAGTGCTATGGCACAGTAGGTTAAGCCTCCACTTGTGATGCCGGCATGCCACATGACTGTCCATTCATGTCCCCACTGCTCCTCTTCCAATCAGCTCTCTGCTGATGGCCTGGGAAAGCAGTAGAAGATGACCCAAGTGCTACGGCCCCTGCACCCATGTGGGAAACCTGGAAGAAGCTCCTGGCTTCAGATCGGCCCAGCTCTGGCTGTTGTGGCCATTTTGGGAGTGAACCAGCAGATGGAAAACCTCTCTGTCTCCCTCTCTATATGTAACTCTACCTGTCAAAGAAATAATAAATTTTAAAAATAAGCAGAGAGGAGAAAATAGGGGGTGCTGCAGGTCGGAGTAGCACTGTGAGCACAGGTGTAGAGGCGGTTGTAATGGGGACAGTCAGGGGACTGCTTTTGACTGTCTAAGAGGTGAGTGTGGGCCCAGACCACGGGGTCATTGGCTGCTAGCCTGGGGTGTTCAGATGCGGTGTGAGGAGAGGGGAACCATGTGCTGATGTTGGGGTTGAGGGAAGAGCTTGCGGCTGGACTAGGAGGAGCAGAGTCTGGGATTAGAAGTGGCTCAGGGTTTGCAGGTGGGGGGCTGTGTGCTTCCCTTCCCTGCCCACCAGCAGGCATGTGGCCGAGGCTGTATTGTACTTGGTTCAGCCCCTGCAATCCTTCACTGGGCCGAGTGCCCTGATGGCTGGGACTGTCACCAGCACCTTGTCCAAGGCCTGCATCTTCATCTCATTACACGTGGAGACATTTGTACAGAGAGCTCACAGGACAGGCATGGTCCTCATGGGACAGGGGTGGTCCTCACAGTACAGGCGTGTTTTGTTTTGTTTTGTTTTCTGACAGGCAGAGTTAGAGAGAGAAGGGTCTTCCTTTTGTTGGTTCACCCCCGAATGGCCACAACGACCGGCGCTGCACCGATCCGATGGCAGGAGCCAGGTGCTTCTCCTGGTCTCCCATGGGGTGCAGGGCCCAAGCACTTGGGCCATCCTCCACTGCACTCCCTGGCCACAGCAGAGAGCTGGGCTGGAAGAGGGGCAACTGGGACAGAATCCGGCGCCCCAACCAGGACTAGAACCCGGTGTGCCGGCGCCACAGGCGGAAGATTAGCCAAGTGAGCCACAGTGCCAGCCAGTATAGGTGTGGTTTTATCCCCACTTGATGGCTCAGCGAAGTTAAGTAATTTGCAGGATCCAGTGCTAAATGTGGAGAAAATCGCATTTAAGCACAGTTCTGGAGGAATATAGCCGCCTTCTGTCACACCTCAAGGAAAGGAAGTTGGGCCCATCTTTGTAGGTGAGGGGTGAGTGATGTCTGGGAAAGCTACTTCTGCCTTTAAAAACTGAGCCATAAAATGCACACTTTTGAAGTGTGGAATTTAGTGGGCTTTAATATTTTCATGAAGTTGTAGAACCATCACCATTGTCAACTTGTAAATTTTTTATTAAAAAAAAAAACACAGAAAACCAAGAACCATGCCCATGAGCAGTGGTTCCCCTGCGCCTTCCCTAACCCCTGTGGACTGCTGAATGACCTCCTGTTGCCTGGACACGTACCACAACCACAGTTGGTAGTTGTGGTCTGTGTGTCTGGCTTTCTTCCCAGTCCCCTCCCCCGCGTTGCAGTGTGTGTGAAGACCTCTTTACACTGTGTGGATGGAACACGGTGTATTCGATCCGTCAGTTGTCGGTCATTTGGGCTGTTCCCATGTTATGATTAAGAGTAATGCCGGGTGAGGCAGGCGTTGTGATGCCGCGGGGTAAGCTGCGCTTGGGATGCCCACATTCGGTATCCGAGCACCAGTTCAAGTCCCAGCTGCCCCACTTCCAATGCAGCTGCCGGCTAATGCACCTGCAAAGCAGCAAATGATGGTCCAGGCACTTGAGTTCCTGCCACCCTGGGCAAGAACCCAGGCCCAGCCCAGGCTGTCGCAGTCATTTGGGGGAGTGAACTAGCAGGTGAACGATCCCCTCCCCCCCCCTCCTTCCCCCTCCTCTCCCCCTCAGAGTGCTGCTGTGATGGTGCACCTGTGCTGTGTGGACACATGGCAAGGTCCCATGTGTGTCAGAAAGCTGTCCTGGAGGGGTTTGAACCCCATAAAGTGCATGGGCCTCACACTTACCGTCCTTGCTGTGGTTGTTTGCAGTTCCCGCTCGTGGCTGACCTGTTCCATGACGACAAGGACCCTGCCCCTGCCACCGCTGCAGCTGGCAAGGGATCGTCTTCAAAGATCAACATTCGCTCCGCCAGACCCCCCTTGAAAGCTTCCAACAAGGAGCACAAGAAAACCGTGGGCCACCAGGTCAGCCCCAGGCCCGTGGCGAGGCTAGCCTCTCCAGAGGCGGAGCCTGACCCCCCCACCACACACACACTGCCCGTGCTTTGTGTCCCAAAACTCTCGCTAGAGAAGAGGGCATCCTGGCAGCCCCAATGGGAACAGTTCATTCTACCGAGGGCCACGTCCAAAGACCACAGGTGCCTCATGCAGGGGAGGCGGGAGGGGCTGGAATCTGCGGCCTGGACAGGAGGGTGAAGGCGTGTGCAGCTTCAGGAGGCTGCGAGCCAGCACCTCCTCCCCTGGGGTCTCTGTGGACTTTGAAGGGCAGAGGGCGCCTCCTGGCAACCGCCAACCCTCCGTTCACGTACTGTTGCCTGCCCTGGGGGTTCCGTGTAAACGCTCATTTCTAGCACACTCTGGCCCGGGAAGCCAGGCTCAAGGTCTTGGGCATAGGAACACAAACCTCCCATGCGCGGCCAGCAGTGTCTGAGCCCAGTTATCCTCCTCCCCTCTGTCTCCTCTGGTCCTCAGCGACAGCCAGAGGTGGGCCCACTCGGGGTCTCCCTGTGCAGTTTGAGTGACACTAACATGGGAGGGGCTTGATTTTGAGTGCAGAGGGAAGAGCAGAAGAGTTGGAACCTGATCCCAGGTCTTTGTTCCTTCCCTGTCCTTCCGTGTTCACAGCTGTCGCCATGACAGTAACAGCCCCCACCCCAGCAGCAGGCCGTGAAGTATGTTACTTGTCACGTGTCCAACAAAACGTGTAGACTAACGGAGTGCTGCCGTTTGCTCCCCAGTTCCGCACCTCCCTGCATCTGCTCATGGAGACCCTGAACGCCACGACGCCTCACTACGTGCGCTGCATCAAGCCCAACGACGAGAAGCTCCCCTTCCAGTGAGTGCCCGCCGGTGTCCACTGCCCCACCAGGCCTCTCGATGCCGCCGTGGAGGTCCAGGTGGAACCACGGGGGCCCAGCCTTGGGGGCCTGGGGCCTTGAGCTCGGTGCCGGCCTGCACCTAGACTCCATGCACAGGTTGTGTGCCCAGGAGAGGTGGGCTTGCGGCCACCTGCTGCACTAGGGACTCGGGGTGAGAAGGGGCGGTTCCCCAGTCCCCTGGAGCCAGCAGCGGTGTGCAGGGATGGGCGCCCTCGGATGCCAGATGGTGCATTCTCCCTGTGAGTGTGAAGTGTAGACGTGGACGGGTCACTGGGTGATCAGGACGGGCTTCCTTCAGATGGGCCCGCCTCTTGCCTCAACCTGCCACCGCCCCTGGGCTTCCCGAGCTACCCAGCCCGTCCCCTAGACCCCACTACTGCCACCTCTGATCCAACTTCTTCCAACCCCACCTTGAAACCCTTCCAAGGCTCACTGGCCAACCTCATCCAGGTCCATGCAGCAGCGAGACTCACCCCTGTGTAGCTTTGGTCTGTCTTCCACTTCTCTGTAAGCATTCTGCGGTACCCTTGTGTGTCATTAAAAGTTAACATTATTGACCTTATTCTGGAAGGAAATTGCTCTGTCCCTCCTGCCATCCCCTCTAATCTGAGTCCCTCGGCCTTGGCACCACTGACGTTTTGGGTTGGGTGGTTCGTTGCCCTGGGCCATCCTGGGCATTGGAGGATGTGCAGCAGCTTCACTGGCCTCCGCCCCCAGGTGCCAGTCACGTCCCTGCTGCCGTGACAACTAAAAGTGTTTCGTGCATCGCCAGGTGTTCCCTGTGGGACAAAATGGCCTCCAGTTGAGAGCCTCCGTCCTATGCTGAGTGCCTTGATAGCATCTCTCCTCTCCTCTTCCCCCCGCCCCCCACCTCCTCTGAGAAACAGCTCGCTAGACGCTGAGCGCGAACAGGTGCAGTGACAGACACATCCTGCGCAGCTCACTCTGCCGCAGGAGAGGCTGCTAGAGGCTGTGAGAAAGTGCTGCTGGGGCCAGGAGGGGGGGAGGTGAGAGACCCCCGGAGGCAGCCCAGGGCAAAGGTCATCACCTAGGATCACTCGGTGGAAGGCCTGGCCAGCTATCCTGAAGACCAGCCCGCTGCAGATGCTGCTGAGCCTGGGGAAGGAGTTGGGGTCCTGTAGCCTGTGCAGAAATCGGGGTGGGGGGGAAGGTGCCATGAGGCTACCGAGTGCAGCCTGCTTCCAGCAAGCCCAGGCTGTCCTGCACCTGGTGTGGGCATCGCAGTGGGGCCCCAGGCATCTCTGGTGGCTTTTAAATCCAGAGTGGAGGTGTTCATCGTCCTCACCAGAGTCCTCGATGGTTTGATAGCAGAGGGCCTGGTTTTCTACTTCCACTCGCCTTCAACTGTGACCACAGGCAGGCAGAGCACGGGAGTGTTCTGTTCCAGTGGGGGGGGGGGGATTAAAATGCAGGAGGCTGCTGCCTTCACACCTTCTGGGGGGCATGTGAGCAGGGAGAGACGAAGGCGGAGTCTTCTGTCCTTGCTGCATCGGAGCTTTTTTCTGTAGTCATTTCTCTCCTGCATCCCATGGTCCTACAACAAACGGCAGGGTTGTACTTGGACAGTCTCAGCTTGGACAGTCTCAGCTCCAGCGTGGCAGTGAGGAAAGTGAGTTGCGGAGAGACTGTGTCTCGCTCTGAGTGGCAGAGCCAGGCTCCCCTCTCCGGCCTCGCTCAGTCTGCTAGGAGGACAGCGTTGCCATCTCAGCAGGGAAGAGCAGGTGCAAGTTGGGAGGGGCTCTGCTGGGCTCCGTAAGAGGCCTGGGTGACCGTTAAGGCAGAGTTTGGACGTTGGTTGCCAGATGTATTCTGGGGAACCAGCCCCAGTGAAGTGTGTGGGCTCCAAGAGGAGAGCAGTGCCCCCCAACTGCTGGCTCAGAGACCTGGCACTCTGCTGCATGGGTGGGGTGCCTGAGCTGGCCACTGCCCGGCTGTCACGTAGGCCACAGTCCACAGCTGGGTGCTCAGTGGTCACATGGCATGACGCAGGGGCAGTGAGGGGCAAGGGTGCTGGAGAAGAGGATCAGACCTTTGTGGGAAGGAGGGTGTTCTGTCCTCCACGGAAGCCATGGGAGGTCCTGGAGGAAGTGGTGACCCCAGCTGGCCCCACATGAAACCACGGGCCACAGGTGTTCCCTAGCAGGCTGCTGTCCCTCCCGTCCCACTGGCCCGGGGGCCTGAGTGTGGCTCTGCGGGAAGGGGCCCATGGCTGGCCTGGAAAGCACATGCATGCTGTGGTCAGGCACAGCGTCACTGGGAGGCAGCCCCAGGACAGACCATCCTGCAGAGTTCCAGTGGGCCCGGCTGCTGGGGACAGTGACACACAGCCTGCCCAGGGGCTGCTCCCTGGGCTGCCGTGGACCCTGGGACCAATGCAGCCTCTATGTTCCTTTATCCAGCAGGGTAGGCAGGCTGCCAACCGCCTGGCTGAGGCATGTGCAGAAACCACGGGGTGGGCAGGGAGGCAGGCAGCGATGGCCTGGCTGAGGTTTGCACAGGAGCCGTTGTCATCTCTTAGCAAGTAGTGGTTGATGCCGGGTCAGCTTTAATTCTCTCTCCATAAAGATCCCCGGTCACCCCAGCCAGCCTGGCATCTTTCCCATGGATTGCTTTGAGTGCTGTTAGTGCATTTATCACACGCCCCCTGTGCAGCAGTGTGGGTCCTTGCAGAGAACAGAGGCAGTGCTGCAGCGTGGTACTTAGTCGGTGTGAGTGAGTGAGTGCGGTTTCCAGTACCAGGCCTGTCGCTCCCCCTCTTCGTGGAGGAACGACACAGGACCCTGCGCTGTTCTTTTGTCTGCTTGGCCCTTCCCGGGTTTGCTGCTGGTTCTTCCCGGGTTGGCTACCGTCCCTTCCACCTCCGTGGAAGGGCGGTTCCCCCTGCCACTTTCCCCACTTCCGCGGGGGAGCGGCACACCGCCGGCCGGCTCTCTCAGGGGCTGCTCAGATGTTCCTCAGGTGTTCCCCTTAGATGTTCCTGGTGCATGTTGTCTCTCTCCTCCTTTATAGTCCTCTTCCACCAATCCCAACTCTGCTACCCACACACCGAGTACACTGCTCTCCTCCAATCAGGAGCGGGATCAGCTCCTGCAGGTTATTGGTTGAACTGGAGGCAGCTGTGTAGAAGTTGTTTTTACTCCTCTCCCAGCGCCATGTTGTGGGAGAGCAGATGCATAGAATAAGTCTTAATTCGAGTAACTTAGTCTAGTCCGAGTTGCTCCCCACAAGGCCCAGCACTGCATAGGGCATGTGGCTGGTTGAAGATGGTGCACATCTTTAAAGTCATGGAGGTCAAGGTCTTCCCACTGTCGGATTCTCGGTGGAGCGTCTGCCACCATCCCAGCTTATGGTGGCCGTGCCCTGTGTCCTCTTGCTTTCACGGGCCCCAGTCTTTAATCTTCACACTCACCCTAGAAGATGAGCCCCGTTGTTGTCCCCACTTTAGAGAGGAGGATACTGAGGCCCTAGGACGGTCAGTTACCTGCCTGGACCACATCATGATTCAAAGCCACCCCTGGGGCCTTTTGAGTCGAATAGTGCTTGACATTGCACTCAGACACATGGCTGTGTGGATGGACATAAAAAGAGGTTCTAGGGAGAGGGCAGCAAGGGGTCTTGGGCAGGGAGGTTATACGAAGGAAGGAGGGTGGGCAGGATTCGGGTAGGCCGAGATGGGGAGGAGTGTCTCACCTGGGAGTGAGAATATGCTCAGAACTGAAGGTGCTGGCGTGGGCTCACCTGCCTGCCACCCAGCACCCTGTAGCCCGTGTTTCACCCCTGACCTTGAGCACAGATGGGCGTGACCTCCTGTAACAGGGCCAGCAGGTGCCCTGTGTGCTGCAAGCAGGGGTGTGCGCTCTCTGCGCTCATTGGCCAGGTTGTCCACTCACTGCTTGTCTTCCCGTTTGGCAGCTTTGACCCCAAGAGAGCGGTGCAGCAGCTTCGAGCCTGCGGGGTGCTGGAGACGATTCGCATCAGTGCGGCTGGCTACCCGTCCAGGTAAGGTACCCGCCGGTTATACCTGTGGGGGCTGCCCCCAGAGCTGCCAGACGCAGACCCTACAGAAGGCTCCCAGATGCTGAGACCCCATGCTGGACGCTGACAGAAATCAGAACTTCAGTTTGGCCTGAGAAGCACGAGAGCTAACAGTAGCAGCTTTTCAGATTTCACGTTGGCATTGGTCTGGGTGATGAGCCAGCTCGAGTTGCATAGGGTGTTCCCCCTTCACTCTCCTCCACCTGTCCCCTTCACTGTCCTCCACCTGTCCCCTTCACTCTCCTCCACCTGTCAACTTTATCTCCTGCACCTGTCCCTTCACTCTCCTCCACCTGTCCCCTTCACTCTCCTCCACCTGTCCCCTTCACTCTCCTCCACCTGTCCCCTTCACTCTCCTCCACCTGTCCACCTCACTCTCCTCCACCTGTCCACTTCACTCTCCTCCACCTGTCCACTTTACCCTCCTCCACCTGTCCCCTTCACTCTCCTCCACCTGTCCCCTTCACTCTCCTCCACCTGTCCCCTTCACTCTCCTCCACCTGCCCACTTCACTCTCCTCCACCTGTCCCCTTCACTCTCCTCCACCTGTCCCCTTCCTTCACTCTCCTCCACCTGTCCACTTTACCCTCCTCCACCTGTCCACTTCACTCTCCTCCACCTGTCCCCTTCACTCTCCTCCACCTGTCCACTTTACCCTCCTCCACCTGTCTACCTCACCTGCTTTTGTTGCTGTTGTTTTGGGGACAGATAAAATACGCATCCAAGAGTATAGTATCATCTTAACCGTTCTGAAGTGTGTGGTTTGCTGTTAAGTACGTTCACATTGTGCACAATCATCCAGAATTCTTCCTTTTGCAAAACTAGAACTCTGTTCCTGTTAAACGCTAGGGTGAGTGTTTGGCACAATGGCTAAGCATGCCACTTGGGATGCCCACATCCCATGTCAGAGTGCCTAGGTTTGAGCCCCAACTCTGCTTCCAATTCCAGCTTCCTACCAACATGTACCCCTAGGAGCAAACAAATGATGGCTCGAGTACTTTGGCCCTTGCCAGCAGCCCGTGTGGAAGATCCAAATTAAGTTCTAGGCTCCAGGCTTCAACCCGGCCCTGCCATGGCCGTTGTGGACATCTGAGGAGTGAATCAGCAGATGGAGGATAGATCTGTCTCTGCCTTTGAAATAAAATAAAACCAGCATCAATTCTCCATTCCCTACTCACCAGCAAACCATCTTGCTACTGCCTGTCTGATTTTGATGACTCTTGGTAGCTCACATAAATGGAATTGTGTGGTCTTTGCCCTCTCTGTGGCTGGTTTCACTTACCATGTTTCTTCCATGTGGAGGCACGGGTCAGAATCTTCTGCTTTTTAAGACTGAATTGCTTTCCCTTGTAAATGCAAGAATACTTCATAAAGTTACGGAAATGGAGCAAAAAGTGAAATCCATGCATATGAGGGGTCTTCAAAACTTTCATGGAAAATGTGTCTTTTGAACAAGCTATGTGTAAATTTCCAAATCTTTTTGCAACAGAAATTTTAATTCCATTGTCCATTAACTTTACAATTGTTCATTTATTGATTTGTTTGAAAGGCAGAAACAGATCTCCCCTCCACTGGTTCACTACCCAAATGCCCACAACACCTAGGATTGGACCAAGCTGAAGCCAGGAGCCAGAAACTCAATTCAGTTTTCCCATGTGGGCGGCAGAGACTCAACTGCTTGATCCATTGGTGTGGGGAGCACACTAGTTGGACACTGGAATCGGGGTCAGAGCTGGGGTGTGAACCCAGGCACTATGATATGGGATGCGAGTACCCCGAGTGGCATCTTGACCACTCCATCACGCTTTGCCCGCCTGCAGATGTTTTGGGAGAACCTTTTATATACCCCATTTGCTCGCTCACTCATCCATCAATGGGCCCCTTCTGCACTTAGCATGAAATCTAATTATCATTGAGTTAAATAATAGCTATGGCAGTCTGATTTGCTTTGTAAGTGGGCACCCCCAAGTCTGGGGACTCCAGGCCAGGAATGTGGGTCCCCTGTTGACACGGCTGAAGTAGCCCTGGAGGCTGGGCAGCAAGCCTGCTAACTCTCACAATCACAGTCTGTACTGGAGTCCTGTGGGCCAGACTGTGCTGTAGATCGGGGCAAAGCTGAGTGGTGTAGCAGCCCAGGGCCTGCAGTGCTGCCCACAAAAGGTCTTCTGTTCTAAGAAGTCTGTGTTGGGAGGTAGAGGGAGCCAGGATGGGGAGTGGCAGGTACAGGCCTCCTGTCCTCCCTGCCTTCTCTCTACCTTGCCCTTTTGCTTGCACTGGAGGGACCTTATCGTACATGTGCAATGGATAATTGCCCATAAACAGCTTGACCATAAACGGTACCCAGTGGTTAGTCTTCGGAAGGAAGTTGTTGATTAAATTAGGATTTGCATCTGACCTGGGAAGTACAGCTGCCACTTACCTACCACACCCGAGCGGCTGAAGCATTGCTCAGGATTCTGTGTGTGACCAGACCCCAGGCTGGTGTCCGTCTCCTTTCCAGCCACTTCTCTTCCTGCTTAGGAAATGAGACAAAGTGAGCCAGCAGCTCGGCCATTCGTCCTGGGATGAAGGCCTAGATGGACGTCTTGCCTGGAGGTGTCTGACATCAGCCTTTTAATGGGGTCATGGGGCCGAGGCCATGGGGTGCGGTAGCTCAGTTCTGAGGTTCAGCCACTGGCGTCTCACCCTCCCAGGGCCTCTCCGGGCCTGCGACCAGCTCAGGGGGTGCAGATCTGACGCCTGTGCTCAGTACTAGGCCTGGAAGGAGGATCTTAGCGGGCAGCTGAGCCACTGGTCTTGCAGCTGTCCTCCCTGGGCACCTGGTTCCAGTCCTGTTCCTGCTCCGGCTTCTGCATCTGCTGGACTCCCAGGGTGATCGGCCTGCTGTGAAAGGGGTTCTTTAGCTCCCTATCTGTAGTCCACTATTTCCTAGAGTCCTATGTTGCAACCCGTTAATGGGTCAGGACGTCAACACAGTGTGTTGTCAAATAGTTCTTTAATGAAATCACTTGGGTTGGGAAATAAAGGGCAATTTGTGGTGGACAGATCCAGGCACGACTGTGTTGTCAGATCTAGTTATGGCCCAAGACATGGATTTCGCAAAGGGGAGCCAGCAAAGGAAGTGGCAGCTAGCGTCGCTGGCCAGCTGGCGGGTCGACTGGGTCACCTGTTTTCCGGCCCGGGCTCTGTTGCCGTTGTGAGCATCGGGCTGCTCGCATCCGTGAAGGTGCTGCCTGCAAACAGGTTCGGCAAGGTGGGCTCCTGAGAAGATGCCTCTCTGCACCCGTGGGCTGGCCCAGCCCTGAGAGCAGGGTGGAGCTCACCATTCCCCATCCTCTCGCCTTTTATGGCCTGGGCTGCAGGAGCTGGCGGTTGAACCGCCGAGCTTTGGAGTCGGGCCTGGGGTCAAGTGTTGGCTCCCACACTTCTTGGCTGGGTGAACCCAGGCAAGTAGATTAATCTCTCAGCCTGAGTTTCCTTGTCGTGAAGTAGAATGATCAGTTATTTTCCAGTTGTTGTGAGGGATGAGATAATGAATCTAAGGTCCATCAGCTCAGTGCTGGCCACTTGGATATTTAATGAAATGACTATTCTTCCAGATAGGGGCAGGGAGCTGCCTCCCTATCACCGTAACTGGGTGGAGCATGTCAATGCCAGGAATTTCTACCTGTTTTTCTGAAATCCTAATGCGTGAGGTCACCTCGAAAGGGCGTTCTGAAATTCCTAACACTCCAAGCATCTGGATAGGTTTAAAAATTAAGTCTTAGGCCGGCGCCGTGGCTCAATAGGCTAATCCTCCGCCTTGTGGCGCCGGCACACCGGGTTCTAGTCCCGGTCGGGGTGCCGGATTCTGTCTCGGTTGCCCCTCTTCCAGGCCAGCTCTCTGCTGTGGCCCAGGAGTGCAGTGGAGGATGGCCCAAGTACTTGGGCCCTGCACCCCATGGGAGACCAGGAGGAGTACCTGGCTCCTGCCTTCAGATCAGCGCGATGAGCCAGCCACAGCGCGCCGGCCGCAGCGGCCATTGGAGGGTGAACCAACGGCAAAAGGAAGACCTTTTTCTCTGTCTCTCTCTCTCTCTGTCCACTCTGCCTGTCAAAAATAATAATAAAAAAAATTAAGTCTTCCAGAACCAGCTGGGACTATGATGCCCTGTGTTAAACTGTTCAAGGTCATTGTGCAGGAAACTTGGGGGCTGCAGGTCCTCTCAGCTGTGCCTGTGCTGCACAGTGCAGGGGCCTGGAGAGGAGCAGAGAACCTCAAGGTGCTCATCTCTGGATAATTGACAGCTGGTGCTGGTGGTGGGCTGGTCAGCGGGAGGCATGGACATCAGTACCACATCAGGACACTGGAGAAAGGAGCAAGGGAAGCCCACAGCAATGAGGTGTACAGAGGCAAGTGGGACTTGGAGACCATCTGAGTGTTTTGGGAACCACCTGTTTTACCGAGAACATCTAACAGGATGAGTTATTTTAATAATAGAAGGTGGGGCCGTGGTTGTGGTTGAGCGAGGTAAGCCACTGTCTACAATGTGGGCATCCCATATGAGCACGGGTTCGAGTTCCGGCTGCTCTGCTTCTGATTCAGCTCTCTGCTAATGCACCTAGGAAAGCAGTGGAAGATGACACAAGTACTTGGGCCCCTGCCACTCACATGGGAGACCTGGATGCAGTTCATGGCTCTTGGCTTTAGCCTGGCCCAGCTGTTACCATGCTGGTTATTTGGGAAGTGAACCATGGATGAAAGATATTTCTACCCCCGACCCCCAACAGTCCTTCTCTCCCTGTAACTGTACCTTTCAAATAAGTAAATCTCAAAAAACAGAAGTGGCTTGCAGGGGGCGTTCCTCCAAGGGCGTCTCCGCAGGCATCAAGGAGAGGCGAGAAGCCCGTGGAATCTGACCTGGTTCTCTATAGACCTCGCTGCAGGCTTGGAGGTCAGTGCACATCTCTGCCACCTCTGACTT